GATATTTGAATTTCAACTTCTTCTTCTGCATATTTGCATTTCATCTTCTTATCGAACTTGGCGGACATACCAACGCCAAATTAACAGTAAGTTTTTCCACTTTTCGCGTACTTGAGCTTATCCTTGCACGTCCAATAAATCGCACTTCTCCTTGCAACCTCAATTTGATTATCAACTGCTTGATAAAATGCCTCAACGATATTGGCCGATTACATGCCTTAGGTTACTTGTTTCTGTACTTGGAATTCGGCGCTGTGTTATAAAAAATATATCTTTCAAGAAAAATTGAAGGGTGTTTTTGTTGGTAGTGAGTTGATTGGTAAATGTTTCTGCCTGGATACGATGCTTCATATGAGGAAATTCAACCATCGGACAGCTTCAGTTTGCCCTTCTGTTTTATATCTTGCACTTGCTGATGCTAGTTATAACATAGCTCGGGCCTCTGAATCCCAGCTTCGAGCTTATTCAAATGCCGGGCCTGTTTCTGGGTTCGTTGGCTCTTCTTCTTTGGCCAACTCAAATGTACAAGATGCTATTTTGAGATTTCCAGAACATTTTACACTTAAAGTAAACTTCTTTTCAACTGTCGGGGGAACAATCTTGGTCCAGGCTCGAGACCCAGCTAAATTAACCATGGAGATACAAAGTGCAATTGATGAGCACAGACTAAATGATGCATGGAAGTTGCATGAGCAGCATATGCAGATGGAAGGGTTTCTTAGGAAATCTGTTGTCAATAAGCTCTTAACAAGTTTTGTACAAAGCTTTGATGTTCTGTGGCTTGAGAGGGCTTATGGGTTGGTAGAACAGGCTATTGAGAAAAGCAGACAGAACTTGTTAGAGAAGGAGACACTAATTTATCTCTCTTTGGGTCTTGCCAAAGCTGGATTACCCATTCCTGCGTCGACTGTTTTGAGAAAGATGGTAGAAATGGAACAGTTTCCGCCTGTTGCTGCCTGGTCTGCTATCTTGGCTCACATGTCTCAAACAGCTCAAGGGGCTTACCTTGCTGCTGAGTTGATAATTGAGATTGGTTACTTGTTCCAAGATAATAGGATTGACCCGCGTAAGAAGTCTAATGCACCTTTGATTGCTATGAAGCCGAATACTACTGCTTTCAACATTGCTTTGGCTGGCTGTCTCATGTTTGGGACAACTAGGAAAGCAGAGCAGCTCCTTGACATGATGCCTCGAGTTGGTGTCAAAACTGATGCTAACTTATTGATATTAATGGCACAAATATATGAGAGAAATGGACGAAGAGATGAGCTTAGGAAACTTCAAAGATACATCGATGAATCCCCTAACCTAAGTGATATTCAGTTCCGGCAGTTCTACAATTGCTTGTTGACATGCCATTTGAAATTCAGGGATCTAGATTCTGCATCCAACATGGTCTTGGAAATGCTACGGAAAGCGAAAGAAGCAAGAAATTCTCTTGCATTAGCAACACTGGTATTTGATGCTCCTGGAAGGGGAAATATGTCCCCTCTTGGATCGGGTTTTGGATCTGGGAAAAGTACAAGCTCTAGAGAATCATATGGTCATATTAGTAGCCCTTTAGTATCTTATGAAGAGTTTTCTATGGATGGAAATTTCTTGAGACTTGAGAATGAGGCAAAGGAAGTGCTTGGTGTAGTGTTAGCTAAGTTGCAGAGCCAAGTTGAATTGATAACAACAGACCGCGGTATCCTCCAGCCAACTGAAAAAATATTTGTGAAATTAGTCAAGGCCTTCCTAGAAGCGGACAAGACCAAGGATTTGGCAGAGTTTCTTATAAAGGCAGATAAAGAAGATTCCCCAGCTTCCAATGATGATTCTGCCTTGGTTCATGTCATTAATTCATGCATATCACTTGGATGGTTAGATAAAGCACATGACCTTCTTGATGAGATGTGCTTGGCTGGTGTAAGAACTGGTTCTTCTGTATACTCCTCTCTTCTAAAAGCATATTGTGAAGCAAACCAAGCAGGAAACGCAGCATCGCTTTTAAGAGATGCTCGTAAGGGAGGGATCCAGCTAGACTCAAGCTCTTATGAGGCATTGATCCAATCCAGGGTGCTTCAAAATGATACACAGGGAGCCCTCCATTTGTACCAAGAGATGAAAGAGGCGAAGATACCAAGAGCTGGTCATCAGAAGTTTGAAAGGTTGGTAAACGAATGTGCAGGAGGAGGTGGTGAACCTAGGTTGATGGCAAAGCTCTTGCAGGAAATCAAGGAAGGACAGACAATGGATTCCGGGGTTCATGACTGGAACAGCATAATCCATTTTTTCTGCAAGAAGAGATTGATGCAGGATGCAGAGAAAGCTCTGACGAAGATGAGAAGTTTGGGGCATGCCCCGAATGCTCAAACTTTCCATTCTATGGTCACTGGCTATGCTGCTATAGGAGGAAAATATATAGAGGTGACGGAGCTTTGGGGGGAGATGAAGTCTATTGCTTCTGCCACCTCAATGAAATTTGATCAGGAACTCCTGGATTCTGTTCTTTACACGTTCGTGAGGGGCGGATTCTTCAGTCGAGCAAATGAAGTGGTGGAAATTATGGAGAAAGGGAAAATGTTCATCGATAAGTACAAGTATCGAACACTCTTCTTGAAGTACCATAGAACAAGTTACAAGGGCAAGGCTCCCAAATTCCAGACAGAATCCCAGCTTAAAAAGAGAGAAGCAGCTTTAGCGTTTAAGAATTGGGTAGGTGTGTGCTGAGGAAACTGTCTTCTTATCCGCTTCATACATGCCTCAGCTTTGATCCAATGAACTTGAGAAGAAGTAGAAGACACTATAGTTCTTGGTTATCTGCGTTAATTAGTTCTTCACCCAGAATGAGAAAAGGCTTGAGTTCATGTTTGGATCATCACCTAGCCTTGTTTGAAGAAACTACAATTTTAAACTAAACTTATTTTCTTAATCCACATCATTTCTCACTTGGTTGATTGATTGTTTATTTAACAACCTTTAATAGGCGCCACCTTCACGCTTTCCTCTATGTTTACAACGTCCGGACGTCCACATAGGTGAAGAAGTATATATACATATATATTTAAAACGTTGTTAATCAGTGGTGGTTTATGAACAAAAATCGACTAGGAGATTTGATGTGAATAAATTCCCAAAGTTACGCATAAGATGACTCAGCCATTACACATATCCACCATCAATTATTCATTTAGGAGATGGTAAATTCAGACATTCTGGTGAGTGAAGATTTTTTGTCGATCTTATACCTAAAATATAATATTTTAGGCTTCTATTTACCTAAACCTAAACATTAGTTCGAATTTCTATTTCTAAAATATACTATTTTAGACTTCTATTTTGGCTATACCTAAACATTAGTTCGAATTTTCATTTCCGCAAATTATAGACGTTTATAATATTCTTTGTTTAAACAAAAAAACAAAAAACAATTTCCCTAATATAAAGTTCCATTATAAAATACTGAACTCAAAATCCTCACAAAAGAATCATTAGAGAATTAACTATTTGATCTTGTTAGTAACAGTCCAAGCTTGCCTAATTTAATTCAGTCGACGCCCTCATAATATCACCGCGTTACTTTTTTCTGCTTTTCTGAGTAAAATAATAATTAAATAAATAAAAGACGCGTTGTTGTCAAGAATTCGAGCTTTAGGCGGGTACACATTTTAACACAGTGACGTACCGCAACCATATAAATACACCGCACCATGAAGAAAGCAAAAGCCCCCATTCTCTCTCTCTCTCTCTCAGCTGTTTGTTCCTTACACTCACAAACCTCTCAAAAACCCCTAATTCGCTTCTCTCTCTTCCCCTCCCAAATCCCTAGCCATCTTCAATGTCCGCCAAACGCTCCCGCATTGTTCACTCCTCGAGCTACGGCGACACCGGCCTCCTTCCGCCGCGGTCGGCCGAGTCCTCCGATTCCCGGCTCCACGTCCGTACGGCTTTCGGTAATGGCGCGAAGGCTCTGAAGCCGTCGCCGGAGGCTGTGCAGTCTCCGCCGTCGGTTCTGACAATGTCGTCGCCGGAGATTGTGACGATGGGACGCGAGGCGCAGGTCGATAAGTTCCTTGACCACTGCTACTTTTGTCGCCGGAGGCTCCCTCACAATGAGGACGTGTTCATGTGCGGGTAAGGTTTCTTTCTTATTTATCTCCCTGATTTATTTTCATTTTGAAAAGAAAAACAAGGAATTAAATTTAAAAGAATACAAATTTGAGTTGTAATTTATAATTCTTCTTTTGTTGTTCGCATTTCATTTGTTTTTCGTTCGCAATTATAAATATTATGTGAATTATATATCATTTCACAGTTGTTTCTATTTCCCGTGTCATCAGATTTACTGAAATTTTTGAATTTTGTGTGTTTTTGGACTTGAAATGGTGGCGTGCAGTCCCTTTCGTGCATTTTGTTCCCCAGAGTGCCGTGACCAGCAAGTTGACCTGGACAAGATAGCAGAGCAACCAAAGCAAGTACCTGTTCAACCAGTTAGAACCATGTACAGCATGACCAACAATGTCAATGGATCGAACGCAACAAGTTAGTCGAGGCTAACTTGCATCGCATGGCTGTCAAATTTTTGAGATTGGCATGCGATTTCGGTTAGAAACGGGTTGTCTTAGATGCTCAAATTTAGCTTATAATTAGGTTCTGTAAAGTTTGCCTAGTTTCTTTTAGGTTCCCAAATTCTACATTTTGTTATGTTTTGCGGTTATGATGAAACCTACTGGTAGTGTAGTGTAGGTTCCCAAATTCTGCATTTTGTTATGTTTTGTGGTCATGATGAAACAGACTGGAGCTTTACCAGAATAGAGTACGGAGTTAAACTTGTGCCACAGTTAGCCTGCCTTCATTTTACCCCTTTTAATATGATTCACAGCTTGTTAACGATTCACTACTTGTCTGCAACTTTTAAATCTTGCAGGGTGTAGTATTGATGTTTGTTTTTCAGTTTTGAATGTCTTGGAAGTAATTTTTTGTCCTGTAATGTGAATGTGGAGAGTTGATTGGTGCACTTGACTTCTTTGTTTACTTATACTCTGTTCACTCTGGCTCTGTTCTCAGTCTAGATCTTCTTGTTGGATCGGGGATCCTTTAATATTTTTCTTATAGCATTATTAATGCTTTCGGTATTAGGCGATTTTGGTAGCATTATTAATGCTTTCGGCATTAAAATGATTGGTCACGAATGTGATTAATATCAAGAATTAGAGCCTAATAAAAATGATGGGTGACGTTAATCATGAACTTAGATGATAATAGACTGATGATCGAGCCTTTTATAGGTGCATCTATTTATTTAATTATTTTCAAAAAGAAACTTGCAAATATTAGTGAATCAGCAAAACTTATGAACAATGTCGGCCATCTGAAAGCAAAGAGAAAGAAGCCAATGGCAAAATGAACACCACGCTAACAACATCACACACTCATAGCCATAGACTATAGATGGACTGAGTATATCGATCAAAAATTACGTTAACGAATCACATCACACGATTAATAAAATAAAATAAATAAAGCATCCCAAACACCAATAGTGAAAAAGTTGTGACACGTGGAGAACGACATGGCACCATTGATATCCATGGTTCTATATCTCCCTGTAAAAGTCGAGGAGTCCTTTTCAGACTGAATTAGTTACAAGGAGACTAGACTGGATTCCCCTCTACTTTTTAATTTTTTGTACAAGCGACATCCCTAAGCATAAGCATCCTCAGCCACAAGGCTTGTAAGACCATCTCCAACCATGTTAGGACTAAACTCAAATTTTCACCCTCCAAAATACAACTATTCATGTATTTTTAGGACTCAAACTGTTTTTTCCTCCAACCTTGCGGACTCATAATTTGAGTCCGCAACTTTATTAAATTGTTTAAGAATGATTAACGCTTAAATTTTTTTTGTCATTAATTTTTCTTGACATTAATTTTGTTTCAACATTCGTGAATTAATTTTCTAAGCATTTTAATCTAAAAAAATTAAAATTCCATGAACATAATATTTTTTTTGGCTTGAAATTAAAATGAGAATGATTGTATAGTTTGAGAGTGGGATCTCATTTAGATAAATTACAAATATTATTTTAACCATTTGATTTTAATTTTGATAATTGGATCTTCTTTTTCTCTTTAAAAATCAAGTTGAAAAAAATATGGGCTGTTTATATCTATTTGAGAAAGCTTGAAAAATGACAAAAAGTTGGTTCTCATTGCTTTACACGTGGCTAGCTTTTAAAGGCTCCAAAAGATTATATAAAGAATTTAAAAAAGAACAAGTAGATGCATAATTGGTTTTCAAAGGGAGCTGTTGGATT